GGCGCTGCAGGCCGAGCCCCCTGACGGAGTGGACGGCTGCTTCACCGACGTCGTGGCCGGGCAGCTGGGGGCGAAGCGTGCCGAGCTGGTCAAGGCCCAGAAGGCAGCAGCGGAGCAGAAGGCCTTTTCCCTTCCACTGGCGACGCGGCTCCGCAGGGCGGCGAACGCCATCAGTAAGGGGGGGAGGCGGCTCCGAGCAGCCCGCCTGGAGCTCGAGCAGAAGCAGGAGGCGCGCGACCTCGTCGAGGCCCAGCTCCAGAAGGCCCAGGAGGAGCTCGCGGAGCTCGACGCGGAGGTGGCGCAGGCGAGCCGTGCGCTCCAGGTGCTCGAGGAGGCAGTCCGCGAGGAGGCGGAGGCGCTGCGCCGCCAGCGCGCAGCCGAGTGGGCAGGTGCCAGTCAGGTGCCAGGGCTCCTCTTGCAGCTGGAAAAGTTGCCTGAGGCGTGGAGCTCCAGCAACTTCGAGGTGGCCTGGGCAGCCATTCGCGCTCAGATGGAGGCCGTGCGGGCGCAGCTTGAGGGAGGCCCAGCGGCCCCCAAGCGTGCGCCGTGGGCAGAGTCCTGCCCTATGGAGGAGACCAGCAGCGGCGATGGCGATCACGCGGACGGCAGCAGCCCCTGGCAGCCCCAGCCAGCCGCATAGCGAGGCCAAGCAGAGCGGCGCGGCAAGGCGCTGGGCGAGTGGCCGACGGTGGCCCAGGCATGCAAGTGGGAGCTGGCAGCAGAGGCAGCGGACCTGTCTCCCTTGGCTTCTCTTCTTCCTGGCAGGTTCACTGGGGGCCAGGTCGGAGGGGCGCAGCCGGGGCCAGCGAGGGCCCGGCGCAGCCTGTGCGGCGGGCCTGCGCCTGCACGAGAGCGGCGCCGAGGGGGTCGAGAGCGACCCGGTAGGCCTCCGCAGCATGGGCGTCCGCGACTCGCCCAGGGGCCAAGAGCGCACTGCAGGGCCCAGCGGTGACCTCGTCCTCCTGTGCGCCGAGGCGAGCGTGTTTGGGGCCATCGAGTTCGGCACTAGCGAGTGGGGCGACCTCAGTGACCAAGCTGGTGTACATAGCGACCATGGAGCAATGTCAGGGCTGCAGCGGCGCCTCGCGAGCTCCCAGAAGCAGGATGGCGGCAAGAGCCCAGCCTCCTGGAGAGCATGGGCCATGCAGGCCCTGCAGAAGGCCGGCAGACTCGCCCACAGTTGGGCTAAGGCGGTGCCGCCTCTGCCAGTGGTGAACCCGGAGGCCGGCAGACCCGTGGCTGGCATGATGGCAGTCGGACAGCAGGAGGCCATTTGGCAGGCCCTAGCGCAGCAGGAGGGCATCAGGTCTGGGGCTGGAGTCGGCAGCTGGGACGTCCGAGGCTCGACGTTGCCGCCCCTCAGCCTGGAAATGCTTCAGGTGGGTTGCAAGCGCCCGCCGACGGCGGGCTTGGCAGCTGGCCAGCCTCCCACGCGGCGGCTGCTGCTACCCCCCTCGGCCCTGCAGATGCGTGGCCTGGTTCACTTGGAGGCGCGCGAGGAGCAGCCCCAGGCCCTCGAGGCCGCAGCAGGTGAGCGCCGTACCTCGCCTGCCTACGCGGTGGTGCGGGCTCTGGGGATCGGCGACTGGCACCTGGAGTCCGAGCGGTGCATGGTCATGGACCTAGGTGACGTTCAACCCCAGGGTCCTCGTGCCGCGGGTGAGGGAAGCGGGAGCAAGCACGCCCGCTCAGCAGCAGGCCTGCATCCGCCATGTGAGGCGGGGCCCCTTCTGCAGGCCCCGCTTGCTTCGGCGTTTTTTTTTTTTGTCGGAGACGCTGTCGGGCTGGTGCTCAAGCCAGGGGTCGGGTGGTACTTGTGTGTTGCGAGCGCGCGGAGGTGGAGCAGGCGGATTCGACAGCGAGCAGTTCGTCAATGGCTCGGACTTGAGCTGCGGAGGGCACCCGCCTGCTGGCGTGTTCGGCCAGGCGCAGTCGGTGGCAGCGTCGGTGCCCCAGCGGGCTGATGAGGCCCCAGACTGCGGCGCTCCTGCCACGCGGCCCCGCCTGGGGGGCAGCCGCTCGACTGGGAGCAGTGCGGCCGCCATCTCGGCTACAGCGTTAGCCTTCAGCGTCCTGGGGCACGTGCTCAGCTATGCCTGCGCGGGCGAAGGCGATGATGCCCAGGAGACCGTGGCGTGCGCCAAGTGTGGCGCCTACAAGGTGTTGGGCGGCCGCGCAGGAGGTGAGTCGCGCCTGAGGGTGCGGTGCCCAGGGCCCAGGTACCTGACCAACCAGTCGGGCAGGAACCAGCGCAGCCTGTGGGGGCGCGGGCTACACCCTGGTGGCAGACCTCGAGCGGACAAGCAGAGAGTGAGGGCGGAGGGCATCCCTGCTCTGCGTCTACAAGGGCTAGTTCCAGGACACGCCCAGGAGCGCTACCTGGAGTGGATAGGCATGGAGGCGGAGCCCGCTGGCGGAGCCTCGGCCGCGGCCGGCGGTTCGGGCAGCGGCCCAGCGGCGCCTGCGGATGAGCAGGAAGTGGAGGCGGCGGCAGCCAGCCTGCCCCCGCAGCAGCCAGGGCCGAGCGCGGGCGCCCTCAGAGCTGGTGAGGCAGCCGAGGAGGAGCTCGCAGCCGCGGGAGCCGCACCCAGCGGCGGCCTGGGGAGCCGCAGGGTCCGCCGCCGCCCTGCGCGCCGCGGATCGGAATACCTGGAGTTCTACCTGGAGGGGCTCAGCGGTGAGGAGGAGCTTACAGGCAGAGCCTCAACCGCGGCCAGCAGCTCGGGCAGCGGCCCAGCGGCCCCCCCGGCAGGGCAGACTGATGAGGCGGCGGATGGGGCCGCTGCGAGCAGCGCGGCGTGCGGAAGGCAGGGGGGCCGCAGGGTCAGCCGCTTGCTGGCGCACCGCGGCTCGTCGTCCATGAGTGAGTGAGCGAGGATAAGCATCGTTCGCGCTCGCGTGCTGCCCCAGTGGGTGTAGGCACGCGAGGCACGCTTTCCGGTTTGGGGGCTCCTGTGTCCCGTCGCAGTCGAGTTCCCGTTGAGCGCTGGCCCAAGGCGGCCCCGCTTGGCGGCCGAGAGGCGGCCCAAGGTGGCCCTCTCGGGTGGGGGGCCCTGCTGGGCCCCCGTGGGTGGCGGCCCTTGGCGGCCCCTCTCGGGCTGGCCTGTCTTTGGCCTTCTGGCCCACCACTTTGCCTTCAAGGCCCCGTTTTTAATTTTAAATTTAACACGCAGGAGCACGAGGAGCACAGCAACCACACACACACAACATACATAGGAACACGCAGGAGCACGCAAGAGCACGGCAACCACGCACAGAGAGAACACGCAGGAGCACGGCAGCACACACAGGAGCACGGCAGAACACACAGGAACACATCCGTAGCCATTTTGGCTCAAGCCTGCCTCGGGCGCGCGCGGGCGGGCTCGGGAAATGGCGGCGGCGGGCTGCCCCTCGCTGCGGCGGCCTTCTTCGCGGCGCGCATTGGGGGCCTTGCGCCTCGGCCCGACGGCCGCTCGCCGAGCGGCCCGCGGCCGCGCGCGGGTGGCCGCCCGCGCTGAGTGCGCGCGGCCGCGGGGGCGCTGGACCTGCGGGGCGCGGCGCGCGGGGCCGACGGCGTCTCCGTCGAGGCCGCCCGCCGCGAGGAGCTGGCCAGGCCCTCCCTTTTGGCGCGGCTCCGCGGCGAGCCCGAGAGCGGGGCCGAGCGCCTGGTGCGCAACGTCTCGCTGCGCGCGAGGCTGTGCCCGCAGGCAGGCGCTCCCCTTTCGGAGTGGAGGGCTGCGCAGCGCGGAGGCCGCCTGGATGGTGGAGCCGGCGCCGTTGCTGCTGGAGGCCCCATCGTCTGCGAGGTGGAGCTGTGCATCGGCGTGCCGCCCGTGGAGCTCCCGCCGGTGCAGCCCCCAGGCTACGCCGGGAGGCGGCACCGTGCTGGCCGCGTCGACCACCGGGGCGGTGGGACTGGCCGGCTGACGTCGACGCACTGCTGGAAGGGCTGGGCGTGGTAGCCGACGGCGCTGTGCACAGCGAGCTGCCCGAGCACGACTCGGTGCATGATGCGAGCGTGGAGAGCGATGCTGGGGGCGGTGCTGCGGGCGCTGGGCCGCCGCCGCCGCCGACGGCGTCTGCTCGCGGTTTCTCGGGGGCGGACGGGTCTGCCGTCGGCCTGCTGGGAAGCGGTGCTGCGAGCGCTGGAGCACCGCCGCCGCGGGCCCGCGCGGCTGGAGACGTCGTCGGAGGAGAGCGCCGCGTTGATGGCGACGGCGACGGGGGCATGTTCGAACACGCAGGTGCCGCCCTCGGAGTGCAAGGGATCCCTGGAGGTACTGCTGGCCGTGTGCCGCTGCCTCCCGTCTCGGGACCTGGTTCCGTCGAGCTGGCCGAGCGGTTTGTCGAGCGCGGGCTGGAGTCCGACTCTGCCTCCGAGCCCGTGGCCGTGAGCGCGGCTGGGGCTGGCGCAGGCGCGTCCGAGGTGGCCGCCGCCTGCTCGGCCAGCGCTGCGCCTGGAGGCCGCGAGTCCGTCGAGGTACCGGCCGCGGACGGGCGTGCGGAGGCCGACGCGGGTGCAGCGGGGAGCTCGGGTTCGGATGCGGGTTCGTGCTCTAGTGGAGCGGGCGCCGCCTCTGCCCGCGGCTGGGCTGCAAGCAACAGAAGTTTGATTTTGTCTTCGAGGGGGGCGGACTTCGAGGAGGAGGAGTTCGTCTCGGATGGCAGCGAGTACGGCTTCGATGACGGCCCCGTGGAGCAGGACTTCGACGTTCTTGCCCGCATGAGGGCCAGCGACGAAGCTTGGCGGGCTGCCCAGGCAGCCCGACTGATGGCCTGGGTTGAAGCTTGGGAGGCCTGCCTCGAGGAGTCGATCGAGGAGGAGCCCCAGGATTTCTTCGAGTCTGGAGATCATTCATCGCCTCATCTTGGTGGGGATTGGGATCGTGAGTGATCTGGCGCTGGTAGTGTAGTCTGAGGGGGTGGCCCTTCCGCCTGCCCAGGCCCGCTGGGGCCGCCCCGTTTTGGTCTCGTAGGGATTTCCTCTTTTGCCTTGAAGGCCCCGTCTTTAATTTTAATTTTAACACACAGGAACACATCCGTAGCCATTTTGGCTCAAGCTGGCTTCGGGCGCTGGGCGGGCGGCGTGCCCCCCCGCTGCGGCTCGGGCGATGGCGACGGTCCGTCCCCCCGATGGGGAAGCGGTGGCGCTGCTCGCCCCGCTCGTGAAGGCGGCTGCGGCGGGTGCGGCCGAAGGCGGTGGCGGGCGGCAGCAGGTCGCCGCCGCTGTCGCCTCGGCCCTGAGCACGGGTGCCGCGCTGCTCGCCCCGTGCCAGGCCTCCGAAGTTGAGGAGGAGGTGGCGGTGCGCGAGCAGCTTGGGAGGGCCCACCTGGCGGAGATGGTCAAGGCTGGCCGCGCGGGCGCGCAGCCGCGGCCGTCGGGGGCCAGCCGCGCCTTCCGCGGCTGGGCCCAGCGCGCCGAGTTCGGCGGAGGGCCCCGTGATGTGCCTGCCACGGCGCGCGATGCCAGGCGCCGCGGGAGGGGCCGTCGTCGCTGCGCTGGCGGCGCCGAGTCGGCGGGGACGGCGGGCGCCGCGACCACAGACGACCTGGAGGCAGTGAAGGAGCGGCTCGAGGAGGGTCGGGAGGTGAATGTCCCGTTGAAGCCGGTTGAGAAGGAGAAGGGGGAGATGAAGAAGCTTGTCTTCCAGGTAAACCGACGAGGTGAAGGTGGTGGTATCGGCCATGGGTGAGTTGGCCCTGGTGAACACTCGGCTCAACAAAGGGGAGACCAAGATCGGCTCTGAGAAGCTCAAGGACGTGAATGCCCCCAAGGTGACGGCCCAGCTGGTCACGGACTGCCGCAAGGTGGAGTACAACCACATGGACGTTGACGCTAAGGATGGCGTCGCGGTCAAGATCGGCGACGACGACGTGTTCGCGGAGTGCAGCGATGTGAGCCTCTCTGTCGATCCCGTCAAGGGCAAGGGCAGGCGTCTCGAGGCCGATGCACCTGGAGTGCGTGCGCAGGGACGGGTGGCTGCGGCCGTGGCGGCCCAGGCGGCAATCCTGGGCTGCGATCTGGCCGAGGGGCTGCGGCTGCTCGAGGCGGCTCAGGTCTTCGGCCAGGCCGAGTGAGGCGTGCAGTTGCATTCTGTATGTAGATCTGGTCTCGCCTCGGTGGGGGGGTTGGGCGTCTGAGGGGGTTGGCCCTTCCGCCTGCCCGGGCCTGTAGGGGCCGCCCCGTCTTGGTTTCGTATGGGTTTTTCCCCTTTGCCTTGAAGGCCCCGTCTTTGACTTTAACTGTAAGACACAGGAACACGGCAGAACACGCAGGAGTATGAGGAGCTCGGCATCACACAACATACATAGGAGCACGGCAGAACACACAGGCAGAGCACACAGGATCGCGACAGAACACACGAAACACATAGGAGCAAATCAAATCGAGCAGGAGCATGGCAGAACCCGCATGAGCACGGCACAACACACAGGAGCACGGCAGAACGCGCAGGAGCACGGCCGACCACGCGGCATAACACGCAGTAGAACAGCAGAGGTCAAAGGAACACGGCAGACCACGCAAGAGTACGAGGCGCACGGCAGAACATCTTTGATACATAGAAGCACCGCAAACACACACAGGCTTTCGGCAGAAACACAGGAGCGCTGCATATTACACAACACACATAGGAGCACAGCAGAACAAGCAGGAGCACGGCAGAGCACACAGGAGCACGGCGAAAAACACAGGAGCGGGGCAAAACACGTAGGAGCACGGCAGGGCAAGACCATGACAGAACGCAACAGGAGCACGGCAGAACACATAGGAGCACGGCAGAACAAGCATAACCACAAATCCGTAGCAATTTTGGCTCAAGCCAGCTCGGTTCAAGCTTGCTTGAGCGAGGGATGGCCGCGGGAGGGGGCCCTCTGCGGTTCCCCCGCTCGCGGCGCGAGCGTGGCGATGCGGCGCGGCGCGCCCGAGCGGCTGCTGACGCGGCCGTGCGACGTGCCCTGGAGGCCGCAGCCGATGCCCAGTCTCGCCTGCTCGAGGCGGAGGCCGCCCTCGACCTGCTCGTTGGCGTGCCTGGGCTTGCCGATCGGGTCCAGGCGGTTCTCCCAGCGCTGGCCGCGCTTGCGCGGGGAGAGGCGCCGACCTGGTTGGAGCAGCTACGGCGCAACGTGGCGCTCCATGCCGAGGCCGACGGAGTGAAGTCGATTGCCTCCGCCTCGGCAGCCCCCCTCACGAAGGCCCAGAAAGGTCAGCGCCTGGGGCCGCGGCAGAAGGGTGCCCGCAGTGCTGGCGGCCACGGCGACGGTGTCTCTCGGCTCGGAGGCCTGGACATCGACGTGGAGATCTGCGAGGCCGAGCCTTTGCTGAAGCTCGCGGGCGGTCTGCCGCCGCGGCAGCGCGCGCCGCTGAGATCTTCGGCTGAGCCATTCTGTTTGCACGTGTGCGAGGGCTTGCGGTTTTCGCGCGGCGCGGTGGTGTACTCTTCCTGCTCCGTCGCCGCCGCCTTCGGGGTGCAGGAGGTCCCTGGAGGTGCTGCAGGCCGCGCGCTGTTGCCTCCCGTCTCGGGACATGCTGAGGGATCTGATGTCGACGACGTGATCCTTGACGGCGAGGCCGACGCGGACACCTCGTGCTCGGTTGAAGAGCCGCCAGATGCCGAACATCCAGCCAGTGTCGCAGCCGCCGCCGCCGCGTACCTCGCCGCCCTACGGCATTTGCGCGGCGCGCCCAGGCGGGGCCCAGAAACCGCGGCGCGCTCCCCCGCCGAAGGATCGCACGCATGCCCGAGCAGCTCCCAATCTCGAAAACGTGCGGGGCATCTGCAAAGCGGACTCTCCGCAGCAGCGGCGGCGCCTCGGCGCCGGCAGCACACCCCGACAGCGGGCCCACGGCCCGCACGACCTGCCCTCCGGCGGGCACGGTCTCGTCAAGCGGCGGCGGCGGCGGGGTGGCAGACCCCGCAGCACCGCTCTCCTGCGGCGTCGCAGCATCAGCGGTGAGCCACGCGCGGGCGACGACGGCCCTCGGCCCCGCAGAACACGCAGTGAGTGAGTGGTATAGTGCATCGATGTGGCCTGCGCCTGCTGCTCCCCTGTGCGTGTAGGCCTCCGCCGCCCTAGGTGCCCGCCTGGGCTCGGCCTCTTTCGGGGACGCGGGCCCCGTCTGGCCCTGCCTGTGTTCTGGCCACCCCTTGCCTTGAAGGCCCCGTCTTTAACTTTTACTTTAACAAGCAGAAGCACGGCAAAACACCCAGAACATCCATTTACACAGCCGCATGCACAGGCACACGCACACAGGCACGCGCACGCAGGCACACGCACACGCACGCGCACACGCACACGCACACACAGACACACACACACACACGCACACACGCACACACATGGAGGCAACATATGTTCACGCAGACCGCAGGAGCACGGCAGAGCAGCACGGCACAACACAGCAGCGCCGCAGACCACCACGCACGGACGCACATGCACACATTCCACGCTCGCGCGCGCACGCGCAAACGCACGCACGCCACGATTGATTTGCGCAGCGCGTACTAAGAACGTCTGATATCTGATAAGCCCAGGACGCAAAAGGACGCTTCCCGTGATGACTCTGCACTGTCACTGAACACGCGTATTACAGGAAAACGGCGATGATCATGCCGCCGGTTCAATACGTCGTGTCTGTTCTTTTCATCATATGTCTCACCACGTTCTCCTGGACATTTCAGGCAGGGCGTGCAGTTTGAAGAACGGCGTCTTGCCAGCTTGACGATTTGCATGTCAGACTTCTTTGCATGTTGTTGAATGCTAGCCCGCGGGGACGGTCGGCGTGGCGTGGCGTCGCGCAGCGCCCGCGGTCAGTGTTTGGTGTTCAGCCTCACTTAATACGATGGTGCCTGGGGTGCAGCTGCCAGCGCCAGCCAGGAGCAGGGCAGGGCTCACATTCCCAAAAGGCTGCCTGGACCTCCAAGCCACCACACCTGGCACCCGTAGCAACCTCCCATGGAGGAGCTGGGGATGAATTTAAAGGGTGGATGGCAGGAGGGGCGGATGACTCCGTGTTCGTGTCGTTTTTTTTGTTGTAGTTAGATCAGCGATTCCGGTGCGGGCTGGAGCGCGAACGACGCGGCAGCACAACAGAGAGCATCCGAAAAAACGCCCAGGGGACCCCGACCCTCGAGTGAGGCGAGGGGCACGTCCTGGCACCAGCGGTGGTGGAGGGCGCCGGCCCAGGGCGGGGCGCGGCACCACGTGGGCGCCCCAGATCCGCCCAAGCCTCTCCCATGGGGTGCCCCAGAGAGGGCCTCGCCTTCGAGGAGGCGCGCCAGAGTCTCTTCGCCTCGCGCCGGCGCCCCCTCCCGCAGGGGCCTTCCGCCTCTCGAGGTGCGGCGCCGACGCCTCTTCTCCGGCGGGGGCCGGCGAGCGCAGCGCGAGGGCGCCGCCGGCGGAGGCGGGGGCGGAGGGTCGCGCCGCATCCGCCCGATGCACGGGCGGCGAGCCCGAGTTCTCCTCGGCCCCCGGGCGCGCAGGCGCGTCCCGAGGGAGGCGGCTCCTGGGCCCCGAGGCCTTCCCGCAGCACCGGTCGGAGGTGGACAGACCTCCTACCCGGACACGTCGATCAAGGAATTGGCCGTTTTCGGTTCGCGAGAGGGCGTCGCGGCCGTCATTTTTGCGGGTCCAGGTCCGTCGGTTTCGGCCCTAGGTCGTTTTCACTAAAGGAAGGTTTACTAAAGGGAGGTTTGTCCACCGCCGAACCAGCCTTTCGTCTGGAGCCGATTTTTTCAGATTGTCCCAGGGCCGTGCAAGGCCTCGCTGGGGCTGAGAATGACGACAGTTCTCAAGACCCCGCCGTCGCCGGCGCATCGCCGAGGCGCGATCTTCCATTCCCGTCTGCTCCTCCGCCAGAGGCAGACGTCGTGGGCGGGGTCGGAGGGTGGGTTCATTCGGGGCTCAGGATTGGTGCACACACCCTCCTTGCTCATCCTCACAGATCCAGACCCCTTCTTCCAGACCAGAGTAGGATTCCGCGTCAATTTTCAATGTTGGATGGCCCCGGGAGGCCGAACCGGCCAAACACATCCCGCCATATTCTTGCACGGGTAGAGGAGGTGGGGGTAGGCGTGCGCACCAAGCTTTGGCCAAGCATCAGCATGGCCAGGATTGGTGTACAGTAGGCACGCCACATGGGAGACAGGCCTGCCCAGGAGTGCCCCACGACAGTTTTTTACCTCCCGAGGGGGTCCGCAAAGTCCTGGACAACCTTGCGAAGATCGGACTCGACGAAGGATGTGCCCCCAGATTCTGTATATCCAGATTCTTAGGCTTACGCCACACCGCCGACCCCTTGTTTATGCCAATCTGGGGGTAGTAGAAGCTGCGAAGGGGTGAAAAGGCGAGTGATATTTGTTTGGTGTCTGTTCGCCGCCACCGCCAGAGGGTCTCGGGCAGTTCCGCGGGGAGGTCCGAGCGGACGGCGACACCGCGAGTTTTGGAGCCACTCGGGGGCCGTTTCGGAGCCTTTGGGGTGCTTCTTGGTGGTTCCTTGGGGCGTCTGGGCGGCCTCGTGAGGGCCTCTGGGGGCCTCTTGGGGCACTCTTGTGGCCCCCTGGGGCTCCTGGGGGCAGAACACTAGAGTTTCAACATGTTTGGTCGCCCTCTTGGGCCCCTATTGGTGCCGTCTTGGAGCCTTCTTGGGCCGTCTTGGGGACCTCTTGGGCCGTGTTGGGGCCGTCGTGGGCCGTCTGGAGGCCGTCTTGGGGGCCTCTTGGGCCATCTTGGGGCTGTCTATGGGGCCTCTTTGGCCGTCTTGGAGCGTCGGGAAGCCGAAAAGGCGGAAAAGCAAAAAACATAGAGAAACACCATGGAAAATCAACAATTGTAGACTCTTGGGGCCCTCTTGGGAGGGTTGTTTGGGACCTCGGGGGCCGTCTTGGAGTCCTCTTGGCTCGTCTTGGGGCCATCTTGGGCGTCTTGGAGCGGTCGTTTGGCGTCTCGCGGCCTTCGTGGGCCGTCTTGGAGGTCTTTTGGGGGCTTTTTGGCCCGTCTTGAGGCCCTCGTGGGCCCGGAAAAGCCCTGGAACCGCTCGTCCCGGCCGTGCTGCGCTCGTCCCGGCCCCCGCCCCCCCTCCAAATCGGCCCTCTTGGGCCGTCTTGGTGACCTCTTGGGCCGTCTTGGGGCCGTCTTGGGCCGTCTGGAGGCCGTCTTGGGAGACTCTTGGGCCATCTTGGGGGTATCTTTGGAGCCTCTTTGCCTGTTTTGGAGCGTCGGGAAGCCGGAAAGGCGGAACAGGAAAAAACATCGAAAAACACGTTGGAAAATCAGCAATTTTAGACTCTTTGGGC